CACCAACTCTTTCCACCAACTCTTCCAATTGGTATGCCATTGTTGACTAAACATAAACCAACACCTTCACATCCAAATGACAAATGGTAAAGAGCAAAATTTGGAATAATGAGCTTAATGAAATAAAAGAACACTTCTCAACATATGCAGGTATGTACATTTTCTGAAAGGAGTTCAATACACAAGTTTCCAAGGTAACGATCAGTAGATATGTAATCAATAAGAGATCGCAGATATGAATCGGAGTGATCCAGAAACCTTTGATAGAAGCTTTCATATCATTTTCTTTTCACATATAGCTATTCCTTTTAAGACCTTCTGTAATAAGCATCTTGCTTTATGCACATGAAGCCACTATATGCTTATAATTGCTTTCCTTCTGTAGATACTACTAGCATTTTAATAACAATCTGTTACTATATCTGGCAAGTGGACCGGCCTGGAGCCCTGGACCAAGACCGGCCCACTTGATCCCTGGCCCGTGGAGAGGGCCTGACCTCAACCCACAATCCACAACCACTATGTGAGCCGCTAGTGGGCCGGTTGAAGATTTTTTTTTTTTTTTTTTTTTTTTTTTTTTTTTTTTTTGAAGTTTATTCTACTTTTCTTCTTTATATGCATTTAACATTATATTTAGGTAATGTTGAATAAAATTTAAAAATGAAGAAGAAGAAGAAGAATATTTGAGGAACAAATCGTAAATCTTAAGCATGTCACTGTATTGAGGAAATAATTCGAGTTTTTATTGCAAAACTTAAGTAAGCACCTTAAGAATCTCTTTGGCCTCCTTTTCTGACTTTCCAGAAACCACCAACTTCCACAAACAAGTATTGTATAGATTGCTTGTATGACCTGTAAGAAGAACCAATATTCTTTATCATCAAATCTTACCCCAATACCCATGTACCAAGTAATTATAAATTGGAGATATTCAATAGGTGAACACACATTCTGTTTGTCTCCATAGAAGATATGCCTGAAGAACCTCAATTGATGCACAGCTGATAACCCGTGAATGGAATGATGGAAACACACTTAACTCCTTTTGAGAAAAGAACTCTTTCCATTTGGTTACAAATGTAGATGAGAAGAAAGACACAATAATGGAGAGTATTTTGCTGCACAGTCAAATTTCTGGTCAGCTAAGGAAAACCATGAGCAGCTTCATCTCAAATGCGGAAACTAGGACTATTTTACATATCTCACTTTTGATTGTCATCCAGATTAAAACAAGAGGGACATTTTGCNACACCCCACATACCCAGTAATTATAAATTGGAGATATTCCATAGGTGAACTCACATTCTGTTTGTCTCCATAGAAGATATGCCTGAAGAACCTCCATTGATGCACAGCTGATAACTCGTGAATGGAATGATGGAGGCACACTTAAGTCCTTTTGAGAAAAGAACTCTTTCCATTTGGTTACAAATGTAGATGAGAAGAAAGACACAATAATGGAGAGTATTTTGCTGCACAGTCAAATTTCTTGTCAGCTAAGGAAAACCATGAGCAGCTTCATCTCAAATGCGGAAACTAGGACTATTTTACATATCTCACTTTTGATTGTCATCCAGATTAAAACAAGAGGGACATTTTGCATCTTATAATCCATTGTACTTAATCCAGTTAAGTTTCTCGAAAAACAAAAACATATTTCTAGTGTTGTCATCTTACAGTCAGAAGACAAATGAGTGGACAGCAAAGGTGACCATGCCTTGAGATTTCCCTAGTGCCTTCGTAAGGAAAGTTTTGTGACCAATCTCTAATTTTCCCTAATACTGTTTATTATGCATTTCCTCAAGTAAGCTACAACAAGTGGCTTTAGCGAGTTGGAGATGATTTTCCCTCTCATTAGCTAAGTGTAAAAAATGGAAGGAAAAAAAAAAAATATATATATATATATATATAACTCTGAAGATGAGATGGATAGACATATCAAATAGATCAGTTAAATCATGCTAAAGAAGGGGAATGAAAAGAGGGGGCAGACCGGTGTAGAAATGAGTGGTTAAGAGAAAGATAGAGAAAGGGGAAGAGAGAGAGAGTGGATAAATTATCCAAGAGGTATTGACAAATCATAACGGAGGAAATCAATAAAAGATAAGAGGAATATCAGTATTGGATAGCTAGCAGATTCTAAATTTCACCCTTAAATGCCTCATGATACTTTCAAGTCAAAGAAAGGATGGATTATCCAACAGAATCCATAAGCATAATTGAAAGTAAACAAGTACAGTTATATTGCTACTCAAACAAGAGCCAATACAAGAGCAATGGTGTACTATGCACGCGATATATGAACGCAAACAAGACAACGTGCATCATTCAAATCACTCATTCTAAAGAACCAAAAATCATATTTTGATGAACACAGATAACACAAATTTTTGGGCTATGAAAAAGGTTACAAACCTTGCTCGCCTCTGGTAAAAAGTGGTTTCCTTCTTCAAAACGAAACTGCATAAATTATTGTACCACACTGTCAAGCTTTTCAACGGGAAAAGAAAAATTGTATAATTGTCTAATAGTAATAAACGCACCATACCTGTACTCATCACTAAATCCATATGCAAATATAACATCAGAGAATTTCTCTAATACCTTAATAGCACAAGCATTCATCAAGTTCAAGGCTTTTTCATCATTCGGCTTCTCAAATCCCTGCTTCTCCGAGAAACTAGACATATACAATGCAAATTAGCAAATCAAACAACCCCCAGAAACCCAAAAAGGAATACTTTTTCTCTAGCAGTAAGAGTTTATTCACAGTATCTACAAGACCAATTGACAAGAATCACCACTCTAATTCCGCATCAGCATTTAACTTGAACACCGACCTATACTTCAATAGAATTTTAACAGTAGATCTCTTGATTTCAACACCTTTACCTTAATCACTAAGTTAAGGCTTCATATATCAAGAAGAAAAGAACATAACAAGGCACATGCACACCACAGATATTGCATTCGCGGCCATCAATTTGAACAACAATGATATTTGGGTACATTACTTCGTCTTCTGCCTCAAAACATTTTACGTATTCATACTTGCTGTTCGCCATTCCCAGATGCCGTACAATTGGATTGAAAGAAAAGATTTATGTTTAAGTTATAAATGTCCCCGAAAACCTATTTTTTCTCATTTGAATTTCAGTAAACCTATGTGGCAAACCTAGTTTGCCAGAACCTATCAACCCATTCAGCGACCTCTCTTTTTTAAAAGTTACACATTGTCTATTGAGTTTGACAAGCTCGAGTCTAAGAGCTATTTCAAATTTAGAACTATATTAACAAGTCCTTTAAAATCACACCAGGTTATAGAGAATTCTGAAAAGATAAATAGGCGACGGTTTGCATTTGGAGGTCAACAGTCCAAACGCTCTCTACCAAGAAAACAAATAATAGCATGTTTGGCCAAGCTGGAAAAATTTGCTTATTTTGAGAGGTGCTTTTCAAAAAAGTTTTGGAGAGAACAAATCCACTAATGCCTATCAAAGAAGAGTCCTACCGAGGATCCGGTGTCTAAGGTGTCTAGGAGCATTTTGTGTTTGGCTAGTCAATCTGAAAAGCACTTTTGAGCAATAATTTGTGTTTGGCCAAGCTTTTCAAAAAGTGCTTTTAACTATCAAATTACGAATAAGGACAAGAGATTTACTTAATAGTTAATATTATATGAATAAATAAATAATCTTTTTAATAATAATTAAGTTTTTTCATTTTATTCAAGTAAAACATGAAGAAGAAGAAAAAAAGTATTTTAATTCTTTCAAGATGATTTAAATATATCAAAAAATTATTTAACAAATATAAAAGCATTCATCCCAAAAGTTACCATATATTAGAAAGTTATCCTAAAAATAAAAAGAAATATTTATACATTAGGAGAGTTCAATAATAAAATCTCTAATTCTAAGTATTAGATTTAAAATAAGTAAGGTTATTTTGATATATATCATATTTTGTTAAGGGTATTTTTGGTAAGAATAAAAGTCAAAACTGCTTATAAGGAGAAGCTATTTTTTTCAGCTTCTCTAAAACTGCTTCTGCTTCTTCCCAAAAGTACTTTTTTTTTTTTTCAAAAAAGCTTGGCCAAATGCCCAAGTTGAGGGAAAAAAAAAGTACTTTTTGAGGAAAAAAAAAAGTATCACCCACACATAAGGTAGACTAATCAATCACTGTTCAAAAAAAAGTATCATTCACAATCACACAGAAACTTATCCATCATTCTCTAGGAAAACCATGCCCTCCTCTATCACCCACACATAGGCCACTAAAAATTCTACAAAGCCATCCAGAACCAAAGATATCAGTCTACAATTTTCAAAACAAGGTAGATACACATGAATTCTTTTATGCAAAACGATCATATTGCCCATAGAGCAGTAAAATAAATAGCAGTTAGCGAACTAAGGACATAAGAAACCATCAGAGGCACACATAGATATCAAGGTTTTTCTTTGGGGTTGTAAGTAAACAACAAAATTACATTAAGCAATAAAGTAATGAACTAAACATTAGCATCTGAGTGCAAATTAATTACTTCCAGAGATATTACAGCAAAAAGTAATTCTCAAAGATGAAAATTTTAAACTTAACACACACACACACACACTCTTTAGCTGATGTTTTAATATACCAAATACAACAAAAAGTAAACATTGTCTCAGGGAACCAATACACAGGGAAAAAAAAAGGAGAAAAAATTGAACCTGTATTACATTTGAATTTAGATAAAAAAAATTAAAAAAAATACTGCCAGAACCTGACACTACTTCGCCGGCGGACGGTTGACGGCGGTTGATAACTTGAAGTACCTCTGTCTTTCTTATTGGTTGATTTATGTGCTACAGGGCTGGGGCTCTTGTGAAGGTGAATGGGTGGTGACAAAGGCAATGGAAAGACGAAGAGAAGAGAAGGGGGGTAGGTTGAGGATGGAGAGAAAGGGGATTTGATCCTAAATTATTGGGATTTAATTATTTTTAATTTTATTTTGTTAATTTAAAGCGGCCATAAAAGAAAATCTCAAGAGATACAAAATATGCCATTTTTGGAGATTTCAATTTTCACTCCAGCAACTTGAGCTTCAAAAGCTAAAATGGCTCCGTAAAAAGTCTTTACATAATGGATGGAACTATGCTAGAAGTCACACTCATGTTTATTCCTATTGGTGTATTTGTAGAAAGAGAAGTGGAGGCGCACCGTTTCAAACCCTGGGAATAGTATATGGTCGATTAAGCACTGCTGCCCGTGTTCAATTCGTCTCGGCGATATCAAATCAGATATATGAACTCTTCCCTTTTTGTTTTTTGGGTTTTAACCATCATCCTTTGCTCAAACATGCCTTTATAGTCTTGAAGGCCGACGATAACGGAGAAGGTAATTTGAAAAGGGATTTTTACAATGAAATTATTACATAGCCATATACAAATTAGTTACTATTTCCCATCTCTGTTTTCTCCCCTCTCACTCTCCAGTCTCTATTCTCTATTCTTTTTTTTAATTTTTCTTCCTTCGATGTTATCTATTTTTTATCCTTTCATGTTATATATAATTTTAATGGAATTCATTAATAGATTTAATCATTTTACTATAGAGTTTTAATTTAGTAATTTTCTTTCATGTTACAGAATTGGTGTTCAAATTCAAATTATCAATCAATAAATTTTGAAGGTATTTAACTCTTCACCATTGACCGCCGTTAAAAAGCTTTGAAACTTTGAATTCAATTTTGGGTTTTCAAAAACAATTATTTGTTTGGATAGGATATTATTGCAAACAATTGGAAATATTGTTTGGAGTTTATATCTAAATTTTGAGGGCGTTTGGTGAAGATTAGACTTGATTTTGGCTGAATTTCAGATTGAAACTCGAAGAAGAAGAACTCGGAGAAGAAAAAGAAGAAGAAGAAGATAAGATATACAATATACTTACGAAATTGTATTAAAGTTGTATTATAATTGTATTTAAGTTATATTCTGTTGTAGTTATATATTTTTAAATTGAATATTATATGAAAGTTGAAAAATAGTTGTATAATGTATGAATCGTTGTATGAAATTTGTATTTAAGTTATAAATATTATCTTTATACATACAGTTATTGTTAGAGATAGCTATGTAATTGTCCCACATTGGAATAGGAGTAGTATCCCCTTTGTATAGAGTAGCTATAAATAGCACCTCTTGTATTGCATCACATACAATATCAATATATCATATTTTCTCTCGTGCCTTCTCACATGGTATCAGAGCTATCGTGAGAGATTTATCGCTGTGCATAAATTCCAGCGATTTCGGGAAGTAAAATCAGTCACCGGAACCCTTTTTTTCCGGCGACTTTCAAAGTTGTTTTGCGTCTGCTTTGTCTCGGTCAGTGTTGTGCACAAAATCCAACACTACCACAAGAGTAGTCACTATCCGGCGACCAAATCCCAGTGAAAATGTCCGACGGTACTGTAGCTGTCCAAAGAAAATTTTTCGGCGAAGTTCCAACGTTGCGTGGGCTACCTTCCGGCCATTTTTTGGCGACGACTCTTCAGGACATATTGTTTCCCTTGCAATTCCGAGCCTACCCATCCAGGTTACACCAAATTCCGACCACTTTTTTATTTTTCCGGCGTGAATAGTGATTTCAAAAA